TTAATAAAAATGAACACACTTCCTGACTTCATCGAGAGGAATTTTCAGTTATTCTTCCATTAAAACCTTCTCCAGCACTTTACGACACGACGGTGGAGGATAGTGGCTCCTAACTTATTGCTCCAAAATGCACCACAAATGTTCAATAATATTGATATCTTGAGATTGGGGAGGCCACTGCATGTGTTCTAGCTCACTTTCATGCTCTTCATACCAATTCTTAACCACTCGAGTGGTATGTATTGGAGCATTATCGTCTTGGAAGATGCAGTCACCATCAGGCAATAAAGTCTTGGCCATTGGATGAACATGATCTCCCAAAATATTCAGGTAATCTTTGCTGTTGATTCTACCATGCAGAGACATTTCCATGATATGGCGGCCCAAACTGTCACTGATCCACCTCCATGCTTCACTGTTGGAAGAAGGCAGTCATGGTTGTAAGCTTCTTTGGACTGCCTCCACACATAAACTAGCCCTAAAGTTGGGAAAAGAGAAAAACTGGACTTGTTTGAGAATATGATTTGCTTCCATTAGACTGCAGACCAGGCATTGTGATCTCTGCACCACTTCAACCTCTTTTGAATGTTGAGAGTGGAGAGAAGAGGTTTCCTCACAGCGGCTCTTCCATAATATGTAGCCTTATGGAGCTCAGGGTGAACACTTTTAGTAGAAACTGAACTATTCAGATGGTTATTCAACTCAGTAGTCACTTTGGTTGCATCTGTTTTTTGCCACATTGCGTTTCAATGTACGTCAGTCCCTGTCAGTAAGTTTGCAAGTCCAGCCCGAATTGCTACGCTTGCTAGAGGTCTTGCCCTGTTTCTCGAATTGCATCAGTGTTCTTCATATGGTAGCTCTTGAAAAACCAAACAGTTCAGCAACCTTAGTGATCGTGATCGAGGCTCCTGCCATGCGAGCTCCAACAATTTACTCTTTTTCGAACTCGGAGAGATCACGAAATTAGCTAAAATTTACTAAATTCTAAAAATAAATAAGACAAAGACAGTAAATTAGATGAATAAACGTATTTACAATAGATAGAACCTGCTAGAAGTTTTAGTTAAAGTTATTAATATAATAGGTCTTTGAAATATAGGAGTGGATTTTGCAACTGTTCCAATTATTTTGTCAAACACCTGTGTATATATATATATATATATATATATATATATATGAAAAACACATGTACAGAACAGTATCAAGAAATCAAAAGAAAATGGTTGAATCCGTGAATACAATAAAAACAGTATCTTCACACGTGACAGTAAATGACGTAATTTCAGTTAGCACTATGCAAATAGCGTTCTGTAAATTCTTCCAGTTATTAAGGATATTTTGTTTTGTTATTATTAGGTACTTCGTTTAACAAATTCATTTCGTTTTGCCTTGAGAAAGTCTACATCGGACGAAACGCGTCGGCAACTATTACAATTTGTCTTTTACATTTATATATATATATATATATATATATATATATATATATATATATATATATATATATATATGCATGTTGAATGTCTCAAACAATCTAGTCTGAAGTTTTCCTATGCAGTGTTGATCCCTCTAATCCACAATTTACACATGAATTATAAATATATACATATATATATATGTGTGTGTGTGTATGTGTGTGTGTGTGTGTGTGTGACGGAATACGCGTGTATAAATGAAGAATTAAGAATCTTCAAACACGGATCTACAAATCTTAATAATTTTTATTTATTTGAGTAATTTTTTTCTTTCAAATTGAAAGAAATGAATTACAAAGATTCTTTGCGAAGAACTTCACACAAATTATTTTTTGTATCCTTTTTTTCAGTACAACTGAATGAATTGCATTAGAATAGGATAAACGGAAATGCTTCAATATATGTACAGATCTACATGACACAGGGTTACATTATTTTCACTGTGTATATAAATTCTAATTGTAGATTGGATGAACGATGCACACATACACCGTCCTATTACAAGGAATCAGTACATATATATTCTTTTGTTTTGTTTTGTTTTTTGTTTTTAAAAATGCCGAAGTCTATGCCCATTTCTACTATATTAAAAAACCTCCTTCCCCGCCTTGGATTCACATTTTCCCATACCTGGAAATAAAGATTTAGACACACGCGCGTGCGCGCACGAGTACACGCATACCTAAAGCATAACTAAAACTTCTGAACTGTAACAAAAAAAACATTTCATGAGACTTCACAGAAGAAAATGTGAAAGATCAAGACAATGAAGGATACAATGTTGCGCGGGAAAAATTAACATTTTTTTTACGTAGACATCTATATTTCTAGCTCTCTTACTTAAAGAAAAAAATTATTTTTTATCTTTAAATTTTTTTTCTCACGAAGTGTTTCAATTACATAATATTAGGTTGGTGCAAAAATAATGTCGTTTTTGACGTTAAGTTGAATGTCAAAACACGACATTATTTTGCACCAACCTAATAAATCAGATGTCTATTCCTCGCGTGCCAGGGTAAATTTTTTATTTAAAATATCACCGTTCAAGCAGAGTATATATGTAAAATTAAAAATAAGTGAACAATATTTCTCAGTGAAAATATGAAGTTATCTGAGCCTGAAACCCATCTAAAACACATACACATACGCTTATATATATATATATATATATATATATATATATATATATATATATATATATATATATATATATATATATACACACATATATATATATGTTATGAAATGGGAAAAAGTCCAACAATTATTTTAAGACATTTTTGTTTATACATCTTTTTTTATAGATAAAAATATTTAAATGTCTTAAAATAATTGTCGGACTTTGTCTGTTTCATAATATGTGACGTCATTTGTTTACATTTGGATACGCATTGAGCAGATATGAATGTATGTGAGAGAATCACAGAAGATTGTAGTTTAAAAACAGTAAAATCGACCTTGCTAACCGAACGATTCTCTCCGTATAGGATCCAGGTTCGATTCCTGTTGGAGAACGAATATTTTCTATGACAATTTCTCGGATATTCAGGCCGGCAAATGTTGTTACTACTGTTTATTATAAACAAAGAATTTACTTAAATATTTGTATCTATAAAAAAAAAAGAATGTATAAACATAAAAATATCTAAAAAAATATATATATGTGTGTGTGTGTGTGTGTCGTCATCTTCATCTCGTATCGAACAATTTCTTTTCTGGTTGCTTTCTTTATGGTGAAGGTGTTGATGGTTAAGAAGATTAATTCTTGCATGGAAGAGTCAATGGAATTGACTGCATCGTAATGTCGGTGGAGAACCAGATTGATTTTGTCTAGCCGCTCTCTTTTCTCTGTTGAATTCTTCCTTTTCTCTTCTGGCGGCTTCAAAGATTTTGGTTCCGACGGTGATGGAACGCCGCCAGTTGGTACGGCCTCGCTCTTATCCAGTGACTCACTGTGGCTTTGAGTTGGTCTTTGTATCTTTATGGTGAGCAACCACGTGGTCTTTTCCTTTAAGTCTTAAGCTCGCTGAATAAAACATGTCCTGACCATCGAAGACGGTGTTTTATGATCAGCGATTCGATGCTTTGACTGTTGGATCTTTTCAGGACATTGTTGCTGATCACATAGTATTCCTATTTCATGTTCCAAAATTAAACAAAGCTTTTGCTTTTGAAAACGTTCTAATTTTTCTGTAGCGACGATATAGAGTCCAAGTTTCGCAGTTATATAACATGATTAAAATACCAATAGCATTATAGACAATGATTTTGTTGTTAAGTTCAGATCTCTGTTGCTGAAGACATGTTTCATTAAATTTCCAAATGCACAGTGTGCAGATCCAATTCTGTGTTCCACATCTTTTCCTGCGGGGTACTTGTTTGATAAATGCCTACCTACATAGGGAAAATGCTCTACTTGTTTGAGATGTCTATGAGAAATGGAAATATCAATATATATATATATATATATATATATATATCATACTATATATACGTGTGTGTGTGTAATATATTCATTATATATATATATATATATATTTAAGACAATTTTATATGTGTGTGTGTGTGTGTGTGTGTGTGTGTGTGTGTGTGTGTGTGTGTGAAAAGACAAAAGGAAAACTTAACTTAGACGATGCGTTTCGTCCTCTGATGGATAGGAAGGTAGATATGAAAAAGCATACATAGATAGATAGATAGATAGATAGATAGATAGATAGATAGATAGATAGATAGATATGAAAAAGCATAGATAGATATGAAAAAGCATAGATAGATAGATAGATAGATAGATAGATAGATAGATAGGCAAGTGTAAAGATTTTATTTTAAAACAACTATTTATACACACAAATAAACCTTATCTCGTCCTGGCTTCCATCTATTTTCACAGAGATAAAGAAAGAGAGGATACAGAAATCAACGTTGATCTTCAAAAATTTAACTGCAATGTCACTCGTTATCATCTGTCTTTTTAATTCTTGTTCTTTTATTGTCCTATTTTTTTAATAGCGTTCTTCTTTTTCTCACGTTCTTTCACACTCAATAAAATCCTTGTGTTATTGTGGCTATAGGCAATGGCAAGGAAATAACCGTGCTTAGAGAGAAATGGTTAAAAAACGATAGATATACATGAACATACTAAGATAGATAGATAGATAGATAGATAGATAGATAGATAGATAGATAGATAATGAACAGACTGAGATAGATAGATAGATAGATAGATAGATAGATAGATAGATAGATAGATAGATAGATAGATATGAAAAGCCATAAATAGATAGTTATGAAAATACATACATACATATGAAAATACATAGATAGATAGATAGATATATAATGGATAAGAAATAAACAGATAGGTATATCCATAATGGACGTAGATAGATAGATAGATAGATAGATAGATAGATAGATAGATAGATAGATAGATAGATAGATAGTGAGGAGACTGGGATCGGCAAAGAGAATGCAGCATCGATAAATACATTGGAAGAGATTGAAACAGAGTGTGATGCCCGTGTACATTCTTTTTACTGTTACTGTTTCCTCCTCCTCCTCCTCGCACTCGTACTCCTCCTACCATTTTGTTTTCTTTTAACCTCTTCATTTTGATTGCTTTTTACCTCTCTTGCTTTTTTTCTTCATTGTTTATCGACCTCATAAAATCTATTCCCTTTTTTTTACCTTATATCATTTTTTTGCCTCTTGTCACCAACCGTATTCTGTTACAAATACGTCACACAGATATTTTAACAAGCTTATTTTATGATATGACTCGATTCATTTAAGTCAAGTGTTGTTCTTATGGTGATTTACTGCTGCCTGAAATGTAGATGGAATGGAAGGTACGAGGATTGAGTTGCCCCAATCTTGGAAGTGGGAAGGATCTCCATGCCTTCAGCTCACGATTCTCCTTTGCCTTTATGCGTGACCCGCAAGCAACATCCGCAGACAACGATTTCACCCACCAAACGAGACTTATCTGCTATGTATATCTGGCACAGTATGACAATTGTTGGTCACCAAATGATTATCAAACCTGCCGAAAGATTTTACTAAACATCATTCTATCTATCTAGCTAGCTAGCTAGCTAGATAGATAGATAGATATGAAAAGGCATAGATACATACATACGTAGATATAAAAAAGCAAAGATAGATAGATAGATAGATAGATAGATAGATAGATAGATAGATAGATAGATAGATCATGAGCAAACTGAGAACCTTTTTGCATTCTTTTAATATGTCGGATGCTAACCACCAGGAGCGTGAATGCTTGCGTCTTTTCGGGTTGCCATAAAGTGGAAAGATTATATTGAATCAATTGCCAGGTCTGCTTCTAAGAAGGTTGGCTCACTGTGTTGTGCTAGATAATTTTTATCTTCAAGATTTATCTCACACATTTATATATCTAACATTCCTCCATGCATTGAATATTAGTGCCATATCTGGTCTGGTTTTTCTGCTATGTATTTAGAAATTCTTGATAAAATACTTCTAAAATATGTAGAATCTATAATGTTATTATTCTTAACCTGGCTATCAGTTTCCCACGGCTGTAACGTAGCTTCCGTATGCCTTTTCTATAAATATTTTCATAGTAATTGTCCTGATAAGCTTTCCTTGGTACTTAGCCCTTATGAATTTAAGCGAAGTACTCTATTGACGGAAATGTCTCATCACCTTACAGTTGAAATGGCGAAATGCTAACGTAAGTTCTATGTTAACAGTTTCTTCCTTCACGCCCCTTGCGTGTGGAACTCTCTTCTGGCATCTTACTTTTCAGTCAATATTGATCTTCAAAAATTTAAATTCAATGATAATCGTTATTTTCCGTCATCTAAATTTCTGTTCCTTTTTGTTCTCTCGTTAATACTGTTTTCTTTTCCTCATATTCTTTCACACTCAGTAACCTCCTTGCGTCTTAGTGACTTTATTGTCTTGCATGGGGTGAAATAATTAAAAGAGATAGATAGAGAAAAATAGATAGATAGATAATGAAGACACTGAGATAGAGAGATAGATACATACATACAAACAGACAGAGATAGATAGATAGATAGATAGATAGATAGATAGATAGATAGATAGATAGATAGATAGATAGAAAAGAAAGAGACTGAGATAAAGAAATAGATAGATAGATAGATAGATAGATAGATAGATAGATAGATAGATAGATAGATAGATAGATAGATAGATAGATAGATAGATAGATAGATAGATAGATAGAATTTTATTTTGATGATATTAATATTTGATGACTTATCTCTATCTCAATGTTGCTTCGCGTTCGATGATGGTTAGCAATGGTTAAGCATTACTACTGAGTAGGGATTTTAGCCCTCACTGGGTGCCCCATACAAAATTCAACATTTAGTCAACCAAAAAGCGTTGGCGTAAAGTCAACCAACCCACGATTCATATATGTCTCTCTCTCTCTCTCTCTCTCTCTCTCTCTCTCTCTCTCTCACACACACACACACACACACACACACACACACATACACACAGTCTTCCTCCTTTTCTTTCCTTCCCTTCTCTCTCGCTCTCCCTCTCTATCTTTCTCGCTCTCTCTCACTGTCTTCTTCCTTTTCTTTCATCTCCCCTCTCTCTTTTTCTTCCCCCTCTCTTTCTTACTGATCTCTTCATTTTCTTTCCTTCTTCTCTCTCTCTTTCTCTCTCTCTCTCTCGCTATTTTCGTCCTTTTCTTTCCTTCTCTTTCTCTCTTTATCATATATAGAAATGATTCTATATGTAACTACAAAAATATACTGTCCAACGTATTTGTGAGGAACGATCACTTTATAAGCGATTTCTTCGATCAAAACAGTGATCAAAATCTGGGCAAACCAGTTTTACACAGTTTCCGCCTATCTATGGGTTCTCTTATCATTAGTTTTTTAGACAGTCCTTTTAAATACACACACACATGCACCCCCACACACAAAAACACACATGAACTTCCCAGTCACACCCTTATATACATTATCCTCAAAAATGACAACACACTAGCAAAATCAAAATTACAACGAACGAACATTATTTATGAATTCAAATGCCCCTTAAGGAACTGTGCTCCTGATCAAACCGAATCCAGAAATAATTACATTGGTCACACTACTACATGCCTATCCAGACGCCTTACATTACACCTATCCGACCACAGCTCTATTAGAACACATTTAAATACATACACAAACTTAACAGACGCCATGCTAAACATACTGGTAGAAAATATAAACATAATAACCACATATACATGTAAAAAATTAAAAAAATAATGGAAGCCTTAATAATAGAAAAGGAAAAGCCAATATTAACTAAGAACACGACCACAATGTGTTCGGGAAATAAAACATGTCTATGTATCTAGAAATATAGACACTAACCATTCACCCCAATTATAAAGTAAAAATAAATCCTTGATAATGGCTAAAAGTATAACCGAAAGCGCTCGGAATTATAGAACATTTCGACAATTTCTACACACACTGTGTCCAGACAAGAAAAGACGTGTTGGAACACAAGAAAAATTAAATAAAAAGCTTAATAGCAATATCTTGACTGTCGATTTTAATGAAACACCTATAAATGAAGGATTGCTGTTTAAATACACAATATATATATATATATATATATATATATATATATATATATATATATATATATATATATATATATATGAAGTTTCTAGTTTCCTGTGCTAGCCTTTTGCCGCCATTTTTTATACATTTTCCGTTTTTACTTAACTCGTTGCCTCTTGAGATTAACAAATAGCCTATCTATGTATCTATCTAAATTTTCTTTAGTCTTTTCTTTTCTCATTTTTTGTCACACACACACATACATTCTTCTATCTTTGAAACTTCTGTCGCCCTCTCTTTCTCTATCTCTCTCTCACACACACGCACACACACACACACACACAACTCTTTTCATATCTCACAGCCATGATAGGCATTCACTTCGTCGATAGCACTACTTACAACACTTTAATAGATTACTCCCATTTTCTTTTCGTTATCGAGTAAGTGGTCTGACTATCCTGACGCTTATTGCTATCTCGTTTCTTGGGCCGCAAAATGCAGATAGCGACACACGGCGGAGACGGTGAGCAGATAGATCGTATTTCCTAGCAACAAACTGTTCTTCTGCACGGGACTAAATGTTATCTCGCCTTGCCAGAACCGCCGTCGATTTCCTCCTCCTCTTCCTCCTCCTACCACCACGAGCCGCTCTTAAGCGTTCCTGTCTTATCAGACTGGGAAATTATGATTTCACTGTATCGCCCATGAATACCTAACATAAATCCCTCCGCGCGTCTGTACATGGTACGCATGCGCATGAGGGGTATTGAAAGCTGCTGTGAATAAGTCGCCATGCATTGACAAAGAAATTGAGGCTTTTTTTTTCCTTTTTCTTTTACCAGATGTTATGTTCTTGCTTCGACGTCATTACGTGTGAATAAATGCGTCATTTGATTGAATGCGAACGTATAAACAGCTAAAAGAGAATAAAGAAGCGGGCGGAGAAAATAGTTCACATTTTGATTAAGAAAAAAAGAAAAAGACTGTAAGACCTAAAAAGATAAGCATATGGGCCGGCCGCGTGGCTGTGATAGTTGCGTATTTGCCAGTGGACGCTGTTTCAAGTTCAAATATATTTACCAGGCTTCCCCACCAAGACTGGATATAACATAAACTCGTTTTAATGCGAGTAACGTCATAAACATAATTATACATATGGACCAAGGACAAAAATTGATTTTTGGTCAGCCCAAGCTGGCATCGGTATTACACCAACTCAACTACTTAAGTGCCATGAGGAAAGTGCTCCTACAGGGTTTCTTTTCCCAGGGCTGAGCAACTTCTCTCGTCTGGAATTAGGAGAATTATAGCCCCACTTACAGAACAGGGACGTTAAACACGCCTCAGTAAAAACTCAATGGCTAATGATTAACTAATGAAAAGTAATTCAAATGCTGGTTTTTCAAGGCAAACAATGGAGAGTAAAGAAAATTTAATAGTTTGTTAACGGTATAAATTTTACAGTAAGATTCAATCTAGAGGTAATTGGTAAATTAAAATAAACTGCCTTACACATTCGAAGAAAAGACTGTATCTAACATACGACCGGAGGCGGTGGTCAAAGTATCACAATGAACTCGACATTTCTTCCAGAAGTTTCTTTTTTTTAATCATTTCGCCCCAAGCAAGACGATAATGCCACTAAGACGCAAGTAGGTTACTGAGAGTTAAAAAGAACGAGAAGACTTTCGTGGGGGGGGGGAGAACAAGGAACGAAAAAGTTTCAAGAAGACAGGAGATGGCGGTTGGCGTTGCGTTTAAATTTTTGAGGATTGTAGGTGACAGGGAAGGAAGAAAACGGACGAGAGTTCCACAAGCAACAAGTGCGAGGAAAAAAAATTTATTAGAATAGAACATACGGTTCCATCTCGCTAGTTCGACTGTAAAACAATGGGACCTATCACAACGCTTTTTGAAATTAGGTGTTTTTTT